AGGATCATCAGGTTAACATCAGCAGGGGAGAGAAACATGCAATAAAAGTCTGATAGCTGTACCCTTGGGCCTAAGGAAGCATAAAATAATATTTATTCACTACAAATTTTGGGATATTTTGTCATAAAGGTGGACATTTTTTATATGCATGCATATCTCTGGTTGTGGGCTGAACTTATTTAACATACTTACAATTTTTATAAATAATGACGTGGTGGTGTCTGTGGTGTATTTGCTGTTTATACTTATTTGATGACTCAGATTGTGGTTAGTGTACCAAGATCCCAATCAGATAAGTTATTAAGCACTCAAACCCAACACCAAGGTCTATGTGGTAAGACACTGGACTGCAGCTAAAAGATACCTCCATGTAATTACATTTCCTCGACACACCACCTCCCCACACAGACTGCTCTGAAAACATCTCATGCAGAGACGTCTTCACTGTTATATTTTGAAAGCTCCCGCAATAATGACTCGGAGAGAATCAGATCTATTTGTTTAAGACAAGCATGGAGTAGTCTGAAGGATCATGGGTAGTATCCTTCCTAAATCAGCGAGAGAAAGAGCAATCAGCTAAGCTTCAGATGGCATCCAACAGATTTGGGCTCCTTTCTTCAGCACTGTTATTGTGGAGCTCCCACACAGTGGTGATGTGTTGCACGCATTTCACATAATTTAAATATGTCGCAGATGGACAAGAATGGGTCTAATTAAGAAACATATGCATCACACTTACAGAGAATAATAATTCAAACATGTGCTTTTTATTCACTTCTTTCATCTTGCATTCATTCACCAGGAGTTGCAGGAGACTGATGCTGGCATTTCATCTTATAATTTGTGAATTTATGTAGATGACGGCACCATGTTTCTTTTGTTTACTGGAACCGATTGGAGCACTCATGAACATCATTTCTCACCTTCCCACTACAGCTACCACCCCTTCCTCTCCCCAACCTTTCCCTCTTTCTCTCGCAGGAAGTGTAGCTTCGGCATTGGAGGAACGTCCTCTGTATTATGAGGAGCCATTAATGAGCGTGTGGCATGGCATGTTGTGATGCGCAGCATATTACATCCATTCATCAGAGTCAGGAGACACTTGACAGGCGGACAGCCAACAGGTTGTGTAATCATATAACACAGCCATGTCAGGCCTGCCACAGCACTGTGTCCCATTAAGGCCTCTAATGTTGTTTTCCTCTGGGTAATTGACAATGCCAGACATGGAGACCTAGTGATGGATAACATAATGGACCAAATGGTACACAAAGATGGCGGCAGGCTATGATGTCATAATAAATATTTGAAGAAATATATGGATTCATTAAAATTGATCCATGACTTTCATGGTTTTTCACAATTTGTATTTAAGAATTCACTCCAAAATCATTCTGATTTAGGTTTTGATGTAAATTGTTTTAATTATGTCTCCTGTACTCATGAGCTGGCATTAAGAGTGTGCCAGTATGACTAGCTAGACGAAAATATGCCTATAGAAACACACATTTAAAAAAATACATAAAGGGCAAAACAAGGACAATGGAGTTGTTTATTTTTTTCAAATTAATGAAAAAATCAAAATGCTGTTTTCCTGGGCACATCCTACTACTGAGAAGAGGAACTGGCACAGATACAATTTACAACGGAGACTACATGAGCATGTATGTATGTATGTAGGATGGATGGGATTCCAAACCCAAGAATTAGTTGTTTCTGCACGCAAAAAAAAAGCTTCACCAGCGTAACCAACAGTTCTCAGCAACACGTAGGGGACGGGTTGTACTGCCACTTTATGTCAGTTACTCCACCGTCTTCTATACAAACCACAGTACTTGAATACCTAGAAATGGTAGGAAGGATTTTTTTTTTACTTTTAGTTTAATAAACCTTTCACTACCTTCTTGCTGGTAATTATGGACAACTTCTCTTTTGTGGCAAAATTATCCACTTCTGAGAGGGTTCAGTGCATCATTCTAGATCTCAGCTATCTACGCTGAATTTTTGGCAGGATTCACATCAGGACTTTAGCTGACACTTTGAATACTTCTGTTGATGACTCTGTTTCTGTCCAGAGTATCCAAAGTTCAGGTTTTTCTGCAGGTGGAATCTATTCCTCTATTCAAAGAAATGCCCACAGTTGTTGTGTATTTTAATATTTCAGGTGCAATCCTGCCAGGGCTGTATTCCCTACCTAATCCTTTTGGATGCAAAGCAAGAGAGAAATATTTCTACAATAGAGGAATATAAAAAGCATATAGAACCTGGTCAAATAAGGAATCATTTATAAGGTCTTGTTGAAAGAATATCCAGCTGTTTAAGGACAAGGAAACCAATCAAAGAACAATGCCATTTTCATGGTCAGGCAGACAGCCTGAAACAATAAGCCGTTAGCAAGATTTATAACAAGAAAACAATAACATAGAAAATTGCATTAAGGTTTGTAAAGAAAATGTCAGATATAGAGTGAGACAAACTCTGGCCTTGGGCAGAACTAGATCGCATCCAAAATATAGTACATCATCAGTATTTGTCTCCTAAATACTGCAGAAATTGTTGCTCTGCGATACATTATCTACCTAAAATTAATCCAAAAACTATAAATCTTTTAGAGAAATCATTTGAGGATTTTTTTAGTTATTATGCAAAGAGGTGAAAAGATGAACTGAAAATTTAAGGACTTTAGAGTTGTAGAGCAACAACATGATGCAGGGAAATGTCAAGTTTTAACTACTGAGCCACAGAAGGAAGGACAACCCCTAGGCAGGGTGAGACATTGTTAAAGAAAGAAAGTATCCCCATTCAACCTGCTCTGCTCTGTCCCTAAGCTGGAAGGGAATAGACAACGTTCTTTCTCATCCTCCCACTCTACACGGCTTTTTACCTCTGGTTGTTTGTGAGAAATCGTTTGCAGCAGACAATCCCAAAGAAAAGAGCCAGCTTATAAAAGTGAAAAATGGGCCGCAAGATGAAACTAGAATGAATCGCACCAGCAGAGATAAAAATACACATCCCTGCCTTTTGAACATCCTCGCTGTTTCCGAAACTGGAGATGAGACAACTAAGAAAATCATATTTTTGATCATGCTAACATTTTAAAACTCTTGTTCTCATTTATGTTTGCCTCTGTTTTATTGTCAGAAAAACAGTGAGTGCAAAATAATTGAGTGGTGTTAAAAGCAGAATTTGTTTCATCACATTATCTTTGACAGCACAAAATTTAGCTTACAATTAATTTTGAAATAACCTAAACTTTATTGATCACAGCAGCAATGCTCACTTTCAAAAGTGTCAATAATTTCCTCTAGAGTGGCTATTGTAATAATGGATCAGGTAAGAGGAAAATAAATCTTTCACTACAGACAGTCTTTACCATGCCCATGTCAAGAAAAAATCAGTGTTAAATGACAGGCAGCCTCTAGATCTCCCAAAGATAAGCTACTTCTTGGCCTGTCATAAATCAAGAGGTAGCAGCGATATCCTGCACAGATCTAAATGACTTGGATTGGTATCTAGAACAAAGACACTCAGAGCGAGACTTCCCTAATAAGCCATTTGTTGTAACAGAGTGCAGTTTCCTTTATTTTCTTGACAGTACATGATGTACCTGAATGTATTTGTTTAGGTACAATGTGAAACCTGTCTTTGAAGTGTGTTTCAGCCTTGCTGATTGGTTTTATCTGTTTCTGATTTATTTTGGTATTTGCTTAAACACATAAGGTCTAATCTTCAAAGGGTCTGAACATACTAAAACACATGCAGAGTAGATGGCCATAAAAGATGCAAAGCTATTCATGTGTAAAATTTTATTTGCTTGTATGCTTTCACCAATATGCAGATAATATTCTAATTACCAAACAACCCAAATTAATAGGTGGAGGATATGCATCTTTAAATACCAAACACAAAGTGAGTTATTAAACCTGGGAGCCTTAATTGCCAACCTCTAAGGTGTGGAAAGATGGATTTACTTTCCTCTCAATGTTTTTTTATTTTTTTTTTGGTAGAATGATACAAATAAAAACAATTATGATTTAAGTCTTTTCAAGAAAATTTTTATGATTGGAAGCGTGACATAGTTTGGGGTCTGAATCCTGCCTAGTATCTTTCTACATGGTGTTTGTATGTTCTCCCTTTGTGGGTGTGGGTTCTCTCCATGTTCTCCATGTTAGATTGAATGATGAGTGTAAATTGCTTTGGGTGTGTGCATGAGTGGATCTCAATATGTTGCCCAGCTATGGACTGGCGATCTTTCCAATAAGAAACCTGCTTTTGCTCATAGACTCACCATTAATCCTGACAGAAGAGCAGAAGAAAATGATAATTTCATTATAATCTCCAACTCCATCAGTGAGACTTCACCCTTATTATGATTATTTAAGGATCAAGCCAACAGACTCTTTAAGCTTATGGAGGGCAGATGTTCTCCCAGCTACATCTCACTAATTTCATAGTCAAGACTAGGAGTACCGAGACCAAGACCTTATATATTAGTGGTCTTGTCCTCTAAAGAACTTGGCCTTGTCTTGGTCTCGGTACTCCTTGGTCTCAGCTGGTGTGGTCAAACTTTTCTAATCTAAGCGCCTTTGAATCTATAACGACAATCTGACATTCACAACAAAAATGATGCTGCTCAAAAAAAAAAAAAAAAGGTTTTGTGAGATTTTTCTTTTCCTGTCTGGACACAATGGAAAGAAATTCCGAATCATTTCATCATGTTTCAGTTGGTTTTTCCAAGTATTGACACTGGCCACAGGATTCTTAGTAGAGTCTGGCTGGATTTCTTTTCCAACAGAGCCAAGCAGGATTCTGCCCAGCCCCTTATAAACACCAGCTGCAGTCTGCTACTCAGTTTCCAGTTTCTCCAAAGCCACCAGCGCCGGACGGCCCAATCAAAACCAGTCCCAGTGCTCCCCTCACTACGCTTTCACAGAGTAAAGCACTGGAACAAGAAACGTCTACAATCAAAGATCTGTGAAATAAAAGAAATATCCTTTTACCTGTGTAACCTCAGGGGTGCTTGTGCTGCTCCTGCTGGCACCCCCTCCCCCGCCCCGCCCTTCATGTATTCCTCCTGCACAATCCGGTGCTGACCTCTCCTTAAGAGGAGATCTGAAGGAAAGGGAAGACAGAAGAGAAAGGCTGTTAAATTTCCCCTTAATGGAATGCCGGGGAGAACCTGGTTCAGACAGAGGACAAATGTATCACAGAGAAACACACCGCGGTGTTGAAAAATGTATGCAGGAAGCCATGAGGGAGTTTGCTATACTGCCCCATTTACTCTACCTCCTAACCCTGCTGGAGAGTCAATGAACCAAAGAACAACTGCACCACCAATCACACTGGCCCTGTGTAGCCTATATACTGCAGCAAACCTGTGTGAAGACCCCCCCCACCCCACCCCATGCACAGGAACAATGTCCTTCCCAAAGGTTATCAGCCGTCTGGTGCTTGGTCAGCCCCTCATCCTGAGTCCATTACACACACAGAGCGGTGAGATTCACTGCTGCCTTAATACACCCTCATAGTCTCTTCTCACTGCTTCACTGACCCCTCCTTAAATCCTCACACAAATCCAACATAGGCTAAAAACACACATCCACACAGGGCTGGGATTAGCCCATTAAAGCATTTGCAGCCTGCTTGAATATATTCTTAAACAAAGTTTGGCTACAAAAACTACAGTTTTCGGCTTCATAATGAAGCAACTATTTAATTCCTTTTAGTGTTACGTCCCATAATAGCTAGTAAAGAAAACAGTAGTGATCCATTATGGAGTAAAAACCAACACTGTCCTTTTTAAATTCTATATACAGATCATAACTTTTAATAATAATTTACACAACTAATATCACCCTGAATTCATATTTTTATTTTAGAAAAAAACAACAGTTGCCAAATATTAATGACAAAACTCCAAAAAGAATGTGTGCAGTCCTTTGTTGACCAAGAGGTTAAGTGGGAAAAATAAGTAATAAGCAAGAAGATGAAGAATACAGGCGAATTGACGATTTTACTGTTAAACTCTGTAAAGAAGATCATGTGCCCTATGAGACTCATTTCCAACAATAAAAGTATTTTTTGATTTAAAAAAAAATTGACACAAGCAGGTGTTAAACATACATTTAATTTATACCACATTACTGAACTAAAATGTTTTTTTTGGTCTGATATAATTTCGAATCCTAAATGTCATGTTTTCATTAGCTGAGCAGAAAATCGTTATAATTAATAGAAATGAAGCCTTAAACAAATCAGTCTGTGTCTAATTAATATATAAAATGAGTTTTCCATGATATAAGTTATTTAAATAAATGAACTTTTACGTAATGTTGTAATTAAATAAATGGGTCTGAATATACTCCGATAGAACAGAGAGAACTGTCATTGTTTCTTTCTTTTTCATGGCATGTGACAATACCTAAAACAAAGCCGACTCTGTCTGGTCAGGTTATTTTAAACTTTAGAAGAACTTAAATGCAGAACTCATGTAATGTCCTCATAGGTCCCTTCCAATAAGGCATATGTTAACATGGCAACTACACACTTCACATTTCAAATTAATCTCACAATGAGAAATAATTACTAAAAAGAAACAAAGAAACAAAAAAAATAGGGGTGAATTGATCAATTGAGCGATCCTTTCCACCAGTCTGATCTACCTCCGTACAGGTTTGAAAATAACCCAATTTCTGCATGGAAGTTTTTATTATTTCGCAGTCAATTATTGATGTTTTTTCAGTACGATAAGATAGAAATATCACGTGTCTTGCAATCTTATAACAACTGACAGTGTCAGTTATAAAAGAAAATCTGTATCTGGAAATCAGAATCGGCATGTTTGGCTGTTAAAAGATTGTGAATCAGTGTTTCTAAAAAAAAAAAAAAAAAATGGGGTAGCGATTGGATGAAATGTCTTTTTGTGTCATCAGGAGACCACAGTTTTATTCTGAAATAAGATGAGCTGCTTGTCATGAAGTTTTTTTCCTCACAGAAGGAAAAAACATTTTTTTTGACAGATTAATTTAAAATTTAAGGCACTTGTCAATGTAAAATAATACTTTTTTAAATTATAAAACAAGCCAACATTATAGAAAATGTTTCAAACACTTGAAAAGGGAGTGGAGAGAGGGTAAAGACGTGCAGCTACGGTCAACAGTTTGGGACTCAAACCCAAGACACAAAGATTAAAACCTCAGTACACGGGCCACAACAACAACACACCTCAACACATTTCAGTCGTCTTAAAAGTGTTTTTTTTTTTGGAGGAAGCATATCTAAGTTATCAAGTCCTGAAAATGCAGCAAATCCTTTAATTTAGCTTGAAAAATACTCTTATTTTGAAGCAAAGAAAGAAGTCGTTTTTGAGTTGCCTTGTGTTGACAGAGACAAGCTTATAAAAGTGCTCGTTGTAATTAATCACAATGCTTAAATGAGGATTTTAAAAATAACGCCATGACTTTCAGATTATTTTTGGCAAAGTATTTTGGTAAAATAAACAATATATGATTAAGTAATGAACAAAAAGGCTAATGAACATTAAACCATGGCTGGAAATGGTGCTGAAATAAGGATCCACTTTAGCTTCATCAAGGTGCTGAAATGGAATTTAACAGTAAAAAAAAAAAAAATCTGAAATATATTTAAGTATTTTGACTCAAAATCTAAAAACATTGAGTCCTCCCTGTAAAATACATTTAAAAAAATATTTATTTTTTTTAAACTGAACGGAGATTCAAAGTTAAAACTATTCTGTCAAGACTGCAAAGGACTGTTTGGAATGCAAAACAAAAATCATAGCAAATATATTCCAGGTGTCATGAATTCCTGCTTTGCATGGCAATGTAAAATGCAGCGTGTTCGGGTCTAATAAAAAGTGGAAGGCCACTCCTGGCACAGATATGTCAGGGCCAAACAATATTAAACAATAAAGTAGTCATAGGATTTTTAAATCATGCCGCCTTTGTTACCATAAATAAATAAACTAAACCAAGTCAAGATGCTTTATGAGAAAAACGGGTCCAAACATTTTTAATCGCATCAAAATACACATAGAAAATCTAAATCATAGCATTACGGTACAATAACACAGAGAGGTTATATTTAATGGCACAGTTCAAACTGATGGTAATTGCAATACAAGGCTGTCTATTAAGATTATAATGTCATTGAGGTAAGAGTTTTCTGTGAAAGGAAATGACAGCCAAGTGCATCGAGTTATTAACTTTGCAGCAGTCCTTCATTCAGAGGAAATAAGTGGTGACATTACTATCTACACTGGATATGTAATATTTATGGTTCATGTGGCCAACTGTCAGATGAATTAGGTGCATCTGTATGGTTGTAAGAAACCTTTATATGATGCAATACAATATATAAATTAAAGAAGATTTTCTTTTGGGACAGTTGCCCCCAAAATATATATCGAACTTTAGCTCTACATACCCTACAAAGCAGATAACATGAAGGTTTAGTCCTGAGCTTTGATGATCTAAACATTAACACCACTCTGTAATATCTCATACTGAAAAAAATACACTTTCTTTCACTTTCTAATCAGTTTTTAACACTGAAGTATAAAAACATTCACTTTTCCATATGAACATGGACGATGAGATCAAGCAAAACAGCTTTAAGCCAAGACTCAAAAGCTCAGGGAAATGTACAAATTACTCAAATGTGACACAAACTGCTTTATCTCTGCCTCATATATTAATATTCAGAAAAAAAACAAAAATATGTTTTACAAAGCCAGGGTGCATGTCGACCCTACAGACAACACAACACCTGCTCGCTCATTTAACCCGCAAGAAGACGGTAACACACTGAAGAACCTAATGCGGGAAGAGGGGGTTGACTCTGGATGGAGGCCAAAAAACCAAGAGGACATGAGGGGGAGGAGAAAACCATAAATACGCAGGGAGGCGAGCAGGTGTTGCAGACAAATGTGATTTACAGCTTCTAAGTCTCATGCACTGCTGACAGGTAAGCCTATTAGGTTGATATTACACAGCTATAACAGAGGCATCGGCGGACCCTTTTAAAAGCAGTTGTGCTCTCTGTGTGCAAGGACAACCTGTTAAAAACAGATTGTATCAAGTTGTTATGGAAGCCATATGTAAACTTCCATATTTTTTTCATAATGCGATCCTTCTACCAGTGAAATCAATTCTGCTTTACTATATAAGCGGTTTGATTATTTTAAAGGTTAAAAGCAGAACAAATTAAGACTTTTGTTACCATATTCTAAAAGTTGAGAAAAAAAATAAGCAGGAAATCTAATTCTCTGTCAGAACCTCCACCTTTTTTTTTCTTCTTTTGCATATTGGTGGCTGCCAAGGAGCAATCACCCTGGAATGCAAACATTTATGAGAAACTAAATGCGCTAGAACGCCGAGATCCGCAATCGAATTTCACTTGTGACGGCGCACGAGAGACAACCAGACTAGAGGAAAATTACTACCACTTGAGCAGCTCGCTACAGATGGTGTTGAGAGCAACACAGCACAAAGCAATACACTTCTTAATAACGTGGTGAATGTCGCAGTGAAAGGCTGCGCGCTGTAGCTTCTGCGTATCCAAGCTTTTTTTTTTGATACCCCTTCTGTCAGAAGTGCAAACTCTTTCATCCTGGATATAAGAGTCTGCCGTAAGAAATCCTCAAAGAGACTAATGGTGTTAAATAAGGTTTGTGTCTGGAGCCGTGACTTCTGAGCCTGCATGTAGCAACGTCGGCTGGGGGTTGTAAGGGAATGTGGGGAGGCTATAAGTTTTTTCTCACCTCTTAAGATTTGAGCTAACTCTTTGCAAAAGCCAGATCTCCATTTCATGATGTCGATTGACTCTTAAAACGTGAATAGGGTTAGGTAGGATTAACAAATTTTCTGTGCAAAGTCTTTAAAGGGATGTTTGATGCTGTGCACGACAAAGCCCAAGTTTGCCTGAGAAAAGCCCTTAACGCCACAACGTTTACTTTAGCTTCCTGGGGGGAATCCTCCTCTCTAGTGGCTACTCATTGACAAGCTCACTAGTGTGTGCATATGTGTACATAAACACGCCTTATCATCCGAGCCTGAGGAAACAGGAGGGCTATAAAGGCCGACCTCATCTGC